TGAACTAATGGATTAATTAAAATTTGTTGTTATTATGATGAGTTTATAAAGTATTACATAAAATACTGAAGGCGGAAATGAATTAAGTGAATGAAAGCTCTTAAATTTCTATATATTATCAGAAATTTCTCTGTGTAGTGTCTCCAGTTTTGTGTACGTTAATATATCCATTAGTTACAGCAGCATTGTTGACGAAGCATGGTATTTCCCTTGTGTACCACGTCTGGCTTTCCTCACTGCTCTCTAAGTTTATTCTATATCCAGCTCTTTGCTGAATATCTCCCCCGTGAATTGTGTCATATATGTGTGTTATATACGACGTACCTTTTGTATGCCCACACAAGTATAATATTTTTTTAAAAATAAAGACATTTCTGGTCGAATGACATTTGTAATAAAATCGGATGGATCACTTTAATGCTTCAATCAATCCCATACGGCAATTGCAAGGAATAAATGCATTCTAAATTCAAAATCAATCGTACATGAAGTGAATTTCCTGATATTTCTTGCGATTACTTCTTTTTATTATTGTGATGCTGTAGCTGGTGAATAAATTTTTTATAGAAAAAAATCATACTTTTTCTATATAATTTGTCATAAATTGTTAAAATTGACTGCAATAAATATTTTATCGTTGATTTTTTTGTATTAATTAATTTTATAAATCAATTTTACATCACTTTTTTTAAATAAATTATTACTTTGAACTTTTGGAATGATATTATTCATATGTTAAAAATTAATTTCTTTCTACAAAATAAACTTGATCTCATCGTGATTAAATCACTATAAATGTTTTTATTCCTAATTGTTATTGTTTTATCAATTAATTAAAATCTTAGGTACATTAAAAATGAATATGAGTTATAATAACATTAATAGTATAATAAATAATAATCAGTTTGTCAATAAAAAAGGAATTTTTTTTACTCATGCACATAATAAAATATGTGGTGTAAAAAGCTGAAAAATGATAGTTAAATGAGAACGAAGGTGGAGGCATGTAATAATGTACATGTACATGGTCACAGCGGTAATGGTGACGCTGGTGCTGGTGGTTGACGATGTCTGGCTAAAATTATTGTTGATTAAAGGCATTGTCGGCTGCTATTCTATTCTGGAAGGATACGTGCTCGAGAGCAACCCATCCTCTATTTCACTTCTACATAACTCCTCGGCAAGTCTACATCTCTCTCTCTCTCTCTCTCTCTTTTTCTCTATATAACTCGTCGCGTTCTCTTTGTCTTAATACATCTCTTCACACATATACAAACGAAATGGTAGTGAATGAATTTGAATTTGATAATTAATTTATCCACCTACAATAATTCCTTTTAAGTAAAAAAAGACAAAATACAATTATCCGGATAATTGGAATGTTATTTTACGCGTTTTTAACTCTGTCTTACGTTATACTGAGTGATAAAAGGGCTGAGCGATAAGAGGATGATAGTTTAATGATTGATAATATGTGTCGTTGTCGAGTAGCTGGCTTGAGAGACCGTATGTTACGATGATAAAATTAGAGGAAACCGACCACCGACTACTCTCTGACAGCTTTCAATTTCACGGCTTAGGCACTTGCTCTAACGATGCATGTTGGACCGGTGTCCAGTCTCTTTCACTGGTTAACATCATCCACACATTTCTATCCGCAGGTAGCCATGGAGATCCACGATTCAGTAGATTTAAGGTCGTAAGGGTCAAATGGAATAATTAACTCAGTGCTGATTCTTTTTTTCTGTTCAAAAGTGAATAACTAAATTTTGCATCTCCTCTATGCCGAGAGAAAACGATTTATTTATTCTTCGTGGTATTTATGAATTATTAATAACAAGTAAAAGTTAAATATAGTTAGATATATTCGTCAATTTCTTTTGAAAATTATGGTTTGATAAAATATCAATGTAAATTTGAATATTGAAAAAATATTTTTGAATAAAAAATTAATTTTTATGTAAGAATATAAATTATTAATGTTATGAATTAACTGCTTGCATTAAAATACGTGTAGAGTTTACTTATAGACATTTGTCATTTTTTCCACTTTTTTTTCTTTTCTTAATCTTTAGAGTTTATCGAAGCTGACATAAATTTGTCTTGGGATGCCAGTCAGTTTCTTTTCCAAACATTTTATCGACTGAAAATTCCCCATGTTGAGCCTATTTTCCTTAATGTATTTTCTATTTTATATTATCGTATCTTTCAACGCATTTGTTCGCTAACGTAAAGTATAACAATCAAAATAATCTAGAAATATTTGCTATCCTTACCACATTTACTATTGAAAAATACTTTATGAAAAGTCAAAATGTTTTAAAAATATACATAAATACAATTATTAATAAATTTACCACTGCAAATCCAAGTGTTTAAAAACTAAACACTTAAAGTGTTTATAATGTTAAACACCACAAACAAACTACAGCAATTTTGTAGATAAATGTTTAACACTTTTTGCCGTTTACTGAAATGCTATAATTTGTTTATTGTGCTTAATATCGTATACACTTAGGTGTTTTATTATTAAATACTTTAAGCGTTTTATTACTAAACGTTTAAATTTTTCCAGATTTGCAGTGACTAATCAATTGAATTAATTGAACTTACAATTATTACACTAATTATCATTTCGAAAACACTCTCGAAAATTTTCGATTAATTTTGCATGCTCATTAAAAGTCTAATAATAACATACTAATTTTACGAAGGAAATTAAAATTGCACTTTAAGAAGATTTTGTTGATAGTCAATTAACTCTGTTAATTGTAAACAAACAATTGATTCATATAGTTTAATTGCTAAAAATTTTTTAGTGACTCTATACATTCCCTCCAGGTACCAAAAACTACATTCCACTAATGATTTTAAAATTAATTACTTCAATTAATCATGATAATTAATTTAGATAAAAATATCAAAATTATTAGAAAATGAAAAGCAATATTGTCTAATCAATAAAATCTGTGTGTCTACAGCAAATCAATTATTAATATCGACCTATTGACGATATTCCTAATATCATCAACTTTTATTATCAGTTAATCGAGAATCCGATGATATATAAAAGGTCAAAGCTATTAATAGTGGAGACAAATAGACTGAATTATTGTTAAACCGGTAGCTTAGGATCGATTGGAATTCCAAAATTGAGGAGCTGAAACAGCGGTCGCATTCCGTGGACACCCTGTTGTCTACATTCTGTCCTTGTTTATATACACATACTCAATTTATATAATATATAATCTATACATTGCAAAATATCATTTATAATTATTACATAAGGCCACATTATAATGTTTTCACGTAATATGTATACATACAGAGATATATTAAAACGAAACTTACTCTGTGTAGCACCTTTAAAGTTCCTTTAACGAGGAATATCATCTATTATAAAAACTCGCAAAGTGCCTCATTAAAATAGCTCGGGGATGCGTCTTTCATGAATGATAAACCTCGTTTGCCTCTTCTTTTTTTTTATTCTCTTTGTTCTTTTGTATCTCACCAATCTCTTCAACATAACACAATATGAATCGCCTAGCAATTTTTTCATATGCTTCACATATATAATTATTGTTGTATTAAACTATCATTTACTTCATTATTACTCTAATTATTATAATAACAATCATTAGTTTTCTTCGTATTTAATTTAAAGATTCAACCAATTTTCACATTTATCACTACCTAGATTCTCTTAACATCTATTTAACATTTTTTTTTCATTCTATGAATTAAAAAAATAATAAAAATTTTAATTAAAATAGCTAATTTTAGTTCCGTTTATCAATTGAATTACACCTCAGGAAGTAATTAAAGAACAATATCTATTAATTATAACAATTACTTCTTATAAACAATAATATTCGTATTCACAATAAATATAAAAGAATACACAATTATGCTAATGAAATTTTAGAGCCAAGTATCCAACCTAAAAGATAATTTATATAATTATATAAAATCGTTGGAAAATTTTCGCGATAGAGGATAATAATATCACGATGCACGTCGCGGTCGAGATAAATTCACGAATTTACGGCGTCCTTAAAGTTGTGAGAATCTTTTTAACTGTCTGGCAGAATGCCATCACATTTCCCGTATCGGCCTCTCTCCTTTTCCTATTCTCTGGTATCATCATATCCTGCACTGCACAAGGGCATTGACGCTGATAAGCTGCGCAGATAAAAAGGATAAAAGTAGGGAAAGTATAGGAGAGTGACTGAGAAAAAGGCAAACTACGAGTAAGAATGGCGAAAAGAAATGACCGTGGAGCAGTTGAATAAGTGCAGTGTAATAGAGAAAGAAAAATAAAGACGAAGAAGAAGAGTGGCGGTTATCATTCATTTTCTCTTAAGCTGCAGAGAGCCGCGAGAAAGCTCTGTTAATGACAGTCGCTTGGAATTACGGCTGAACTTGTCATTTGTAAACTCGAGTAGAATAGAGAGAAAGAGAGAGAGAGAGAGAGAGAGAGAGACAAGTGCAGCAGCACGCTGCTGCAGTACTTGAAGATTATCTTCAGCTTCAAGAGCTGCAGCTTAACCCTCCGATTTTTTCCGCCTACTTTATGTTCCCGTTTTATTATTTATTCCTATTTGTTATTCAGCTGTTTTTATATCTTTTATCTGCATGTATTTTAAAAACCCACTTGTTCATTTTATCCTTCGTTTTTCCCTCCCAATTTCGAATATTACATTTTGATTGTAATTCTTTGAATATTCCGTCAAATTTATATTAATTTAAATATTTTATAAAAATTTAAATGTGCATATAAAATACCAATTACATATGTATTTATGCTGGCCCTTGGCCAGAACTCTCACTTCCTCTAAATAAAAATTTTTTTGCGGTTTTGTGTGATTTAACTATGACGATAATATTCACACTTTGTCGAAATATTTTTATAGAAAAACCAGTTACTAAATGATAATGTAATTGAATATTTTTTTAATATCTCTTCTGGGAAATTAATTAACCCTATTTTATAATTCTAGACATGCTACGAAATGGAGAGGTACCTGAAAGATGAACCGAAGCTACAATCGTACAAAAAGCTACCTACAGAACTTGATACAGCACCGTGGAATCTATTTAGAGCACCGCCAATTTCATGGACAGCAACAACTTGCACAACTAGCACACAGTATGAACCTGAGATTAAAATGGAGGTAAACATAAGCATTTAAATTTTGATTAGTAACCTTTTGAACCCTGTATTAAATATTTGCATGCAATACTTTTATTTTTGTTTCTCAACAAACTATCTATAAAAATCAACCTCAAATGATAAAAATAAATGACAATCTCGTGGTTTTCAGTGGCCCAGAATTTCTATTGATCTATTTATTTGATTCATTCTTGATATTTTCTAAAAATTAATTACTTACAAAACAATATTTTTATCACTAAAAATAAAATATTTAAAGTGTAGCTATTATACTTTGAGTTCAAAGAACTAAATATTCTGTAGAAAATATAGAGTTTTGTCTAACGATATCAATACATTCATTTAGGATACCATATAATTTTTTTACTATTATTAGAAATAATTGAATTTAAAATATTTTTTAATATCTTACTTGATTTAATGCTCTTTCATATAAAATAATGATAAAATTGCCCACAGGTGACTTCATCATCAGACGATGTAGATCCTCTATGCCTGGATGATATAAAATTTAGTCCAGGTGACGACAATCACAATGGCCGGGATAGGGATTTACTAGATCGTAATCTTGATTCTCTGTCAATGTCATCTTCTAGTTCGGCGTGTTCTGCCCTATCTTGGGATAGTTCGCCGACATTTTCTTACAGAGCACTTATTGTAAAAAAAGAACCAAGTGAAGACTTGGAAGAAGATGAGGAACATGAGGTAAAGTGCCTATTAAACTGTTACTTCTATTAATCTCATGTTAGCTATTATTACTGAGTCATCAATTCCACTATGATCTTTTTTTGATTCTATTTTTATTTTCAGGAAATTGAAGAGGAAGAAGACAGTGGTTGTGAGGGCGAAGGGCAAATTTTAACACCCCCTTCAAGTCCAGAATCGACTCAAGGGCATTCAAATTCAAGTCATTCATCAAGTGGGAGTTCTATGTTGGACGTTCACAATCTAAATCTTCATAATACGGGTGGTAGGAATGCTGTTGTTAGACTTACAACGACTAACGGCCAAAGTGTTGCCAGGTACATACAGCCAACATCAATATAAGCTGTGCTAAATGTCAACATTTTATTTATTTTTTCTCTTATAAACGTTTCTTTCATCTTGCAGACTAATTTCCGTCGCGACAAATGATTTCCCGACTACTCCAAGCACACAACATCAACACACAAGTCCAACATCTATAACCACAAGTATTGCAACTAACAGGCATCATGCCAGAAGTCATGAGCACAGTCCTCAAGATACAAAACGTAGAATACACAAGTGTACGTTTCCAGGATGCAAAAAAGTCTATACAAAAAGTTCCCATCTCAAAGCTCACCAACGAACTCATACAGGTGAGTGATATTGAATGATACTATGCATTGACAAGCAATTTTATAAATAAATAATAAACCACAGCAGCTACTCTAAAAACACTTGATAATCTCTTTATTCAAAATAAAAAAGTAGAAATTGATTTCTATTCAATCTGGTGTACATCGTCACCAGGTCGTCGCTCCAGGATTGTCATTTTGATTAAAAGCTATACAATGTCCATGGAATATGATACTACAGCATCGAGTTCTCATGCATCAGACAACAGAAAGCTCTGAAAAAGGCTTGATGATAGCTAAAGATGGGTAGTTAGGGTTATAACAAACATGGTTACAAAGATAACAACATCACGACTATAATTATTCAACTCAACTTCCTTTCAATTATACCTTTTTATATTATCATTATTTTTCTTACTTATCAATGATCTTAAAGTATAGTTCTCATTCTTGATTCACTTTGGAGATGATTATTCTTCCATATTATAATCAAATTATTATGATGAGAAAATAATTTTTTTCCAATATAAAAATATTACTTTCAGTATTTAAAATATTATCTTCAATAAAATGTCGATAATTCTTTCATTCAAATGCATTGGCACGAGAAAAACTTGAAAATTTACATTCTAATAATTATTCAACGTTTTTTATAGTCATATATATGAGTTCTTACATTTTAATAAATTGAATTATTACTCAAATAAAATAAAAAAATTATTATTGTCTATGCTGATCCTTTAAATTATCATACTTTCAAGTTGGACGTAATTCTTTGCCATGAAGAACCTAGCTCAAAGCATTATCAATCAATATCGTTCTCTTTTCCATGGTGGATAGGTAGAGTAAATAAGGAAGAATGAGAGAAAGAAACTGCTGTGATGCAACAAACACAAATGTAAATGAAAGAAGGCTACAGTTAAAGGAAATAGAGGTTGAAGAAGGCTCTTTTATCTCTCACGCGTCGTCATCCGGAAAGTTGCTAGGAATTTCAGTTCTATTTGTATTAGGTTCGAGATGAGGGTGCAAACATGCACAAGCTGAGTGAGATAAAGTTAGTTTACGCTCAAGAAATTCAAGGAAGATTAGGATCCTTTTTGTATTTATTAATTTAACTCAGACATTTTCAATTTCGTGCTTTGATTTCTGAGATTGTAATTTATTACATTTATTTGTTTCAGGAGAAAAGCCATATAAATGCAGCTGGGAAGGATGCGAATGGCGATTTGCTCGTTCTGATGAACTTACACGTCACTACCGCAAGCACACAGGAGCAAAACCGTTTAAATGTCGACATTGCGATCGTTGTTTTTCACGTAGCGATCACTTAGCTCTTCATATGAAAAGACATGTTTAATTATTTAATCATTTTATTTCACACGAACTCGACATGGTCAGAAATGAAAAATTCATCTTCTGATCTACAGTTTCCAAGTTGCTAATTCTTTCCATCAGCAACTTAGATCATTTTCACAATATCTTATCCCAACCCACCCACCTCCTGTCATTATTCTCGACGTAATGGAAGAAAATCTACATTGAATTTATAATAAACAAGAATATCTCAATATAATTCGAATAAAAGAACATCATTAAGAGATTTATTTAATAAAAAAAAAAAGTTCTCTCGTTTCTAAATAGAATGTTTATGGATTTTCTGATGCTACCTTGCTTCCAAGTTCATCTTACGCTTCTCCTTCAATGTCGTCATAATATAATTGTATTGCATATGTGTGTATTACTGTGGGACCCCGAAATATATATTATATAAAAATAATTAATAAAAAAAATGATGGCTTAAATAATAAAAAATATTTGTGATAAGTGCTACGAACAAATATCCATCTCTCTTTGTTCTTGTTATTCATTCATTTATTTATAAACTTTTTTAATAAAAAACAATTGCATGGTTTTTTAAATTGAGAGATGTTGAATCACTGCCAGTAATTATGTTAATGTAAAGCATTTTTATAAATATAAATGGATAAGTAAAAAAAAAATTTTTGAGAAAATAAAGAGTAAAAAAATAAAAGGAGAAGTATCGATGACACAACGAGGAATGCAACGAGAATATTAGAGAAAAATTAGGATGAAATTAGGAAAATTTTATTAGAAGAAAATACTTGCGTCGTTTCTTTAATATATTAACAAGTAAACGCATACCATAAAAATTTTCAACGACATTATTAATATTAATAATACTGTTATAAATTATTATTATCATCATTACTCTTACTCTTATTTTTATATAGTATCTATAATTATTATTAATAATCATAGGATCCTCGGTGCTAAATAAACTAAATTCACATTAACATGGCTTAAAAATGTCATGTGGAATTAACTTTTTCTATGCGTTTTACGAGTTGATTGAACGGCGCAATTGTTTAGAAAATTGTATCTAGTATTAATTCAACGTATATATTTACAAAAAAATTAGTAATTATAAATAGACGAAAAACAAAAAAAAAACTAATAACAATTAAAGAAAAACAAGGAACAAGATATGCAGCAGATTCCATTTAACATCAAAATACGAGAGATCTTTATGTATTATTATTATTATGATTATTATTATTCTTCCATTTTAATCAATAAAAGCAAGAATCCTCTTGGTTTCTTTTGAAATATATGATATATTTCCAAGGACAGTCAAGAGGGCTTCAATTTTAAATGTTCAGTGGCCAAATAAATTATTAAATAATACATTAATATATATAACATAAGCGTTATATAATTAGTTAGATGATAAACGAATGAATGAGTAGTAAAAGCTAGATAAAAACAATTTATCAAAGAATAAAAAAAAAATGTTATTGCTTTAAATCATCAAGGAATAATCAATGAATGAAGTGAATGAGATAGTGACGAAATATAAATAATGCAAAACAATACAAATTAATAGATTAAAATTAATGTGAGAATGACTGAAGATTAGAAATTACAAAATGAATAAATAAATCATTAAATGAACATACAGATAAATAAGAAAAATTCAAAGTAATAATTATTGAGTTTGAATATTGTGCAATTTCTTTCAATACTTCATTATCTGTTACCAGAATTTTTTAGTTATATATAAATATATATTATATTAATTCCTATAATTTTATTATTACTTATTATTATTAATTATTATAGCATTTAAAAATTTGTATACTGCGAACGAGTTTATCTGAAACAAAAACAAACGCATGAACAAATAAAAAAAGACAACAATAATAAGAACAAAACCATTAAATAAGTATGTAACGCAATGACTTAATAACCCATGCATATTGAGGAAAAGTTTTTTGATAAAAATATTTCAAATCATCATAATATAACAATGCTGGGCGTCAAAATCCGTCATTAACTATTATTGAAAAACGAAAAATATTGCCACATAAAAAGAAAAAAAAATATTAAAAATATTTAAAAAATAATAATAAAAAAAAATGCTTCTGCTTGATAAACTCAACTCTAACATTATCATATCATATATATATAATAATGTTATGAATTATTGAAAGCACGCACATACTATCTTTCGCCGAAAATGAGATTGGCGTGTTAAATCACAAAGCTTAAAAGTACATAACATGAACATTTCTGTAAATTTTAACATCATGGAATAGTAATACAGATTGGCGAAAAATCTACATTCATTCTTTCGGACCGTCAACGAAAACTTTTGTACGTATTTTCATTCTTTTCATATGGAAAATGATGCATATATAAGAGTATAGTTATTAAAAATAAATGAGAATAACAAAACTGTTTACATGAACTACATTAACTGTGCAATATGTATTACAATTCATACATAAAGTGGATCAGTTTGTATAAAATTTGTATGTAACCCGTAACTGGACAAATAAATATTAAGCTATTATTAACTTTTAACAAAAACCAAGAGAGAATTAAGTTTAATTAATTTCAGTTATTCTTTTATTTGCAAGTTTTTTTGTTTAATTTTAAATAAAATAAATTTTATTCCATTGAATCTAAGTCGTAATTAATTTCCTAGATTATTACCTTTTATTACTATTATATTATTTTTATCATTTTCAATATTTAACAAATTATTATAATTTTCACACCATCATGCAATAATAAAACAAACTCGTAAACTTGAAATAAATATATCTACTATCAATAAACTCTAAGTAAGTTTATTTTTTTATTTATACATTTGGAAGAAAATTCATACAAATTGTAAACACTTTAGCAGTAAAACTTTGTCAATCACTACCAAGTTGATTATTTTTTTTTCATTATATTTTGACTTTTCTTTCTCTCAAGTCTTCTTCTTATTCTTGAGAATAACATTTCGCAATACTCGGATCAAATTTCTTGGCAATTTTTTGTTCAAGAGCCGAGTTGGTCGTTTCAAGAAAGACTTTGAAATCCGCTTCTAAGAAATTGACTCTTCACATTCGACCACATCATGTCGGCTAGACGGTTAACTTGAAGCTTCGTAATTCAATCTCTACCATCTTAAATTTTTATTAAATGTTCTGTCGGCCGTCCGATAATTTTTTATTTATATTAATTGCAATACTCTAAACAAAATAAAATTCTTTGCTAATATTTTTTATTAATAAATTTTGATTATCATTTTTATGTTATGTATATATGATATGATAGAATGCTTAGCTCTAAAAAATAATTTCAATCTTTATATCAAATGAATTTTAATAAAATTATTTATCAACAATAAATTAATATCAGCTTATGAATACGTTAATTACAGTCATATTTTAACTAATTTCCGTTATAAAATTATTATTATTGTTATTATTATCATAAAGCGAATATGAATTTATTAAGATCAAACAAAACATTTGATCATTAAATTAATAAAATAATCAGTGGAGTATTTACAACTATAAAAAAAATTGATAAAATCTTTTGATGCGTGCAAAAAAAGTATAATGGAGTAGTTGCTGAGTATGTCTATTAAATGATATTGAATGTTTTTAGAAATGATAAACCAAAAAAATTAATATATAATTACAAAAATAGAGCAACAATAAAATGCAGAATCTAAATCAATGATTATTTTAAAAATACAGTTTAAATGACGTATAAAAAAAGATAAAATGAATACTAACGTTTATTATTGATAATAATTATAATAGAGCGAAAAAAATTACCACATTTTAAAAATAGCTCTACTTATAATTGTAACTAATGACATAAGTTATGAATGTCTTATGATTATTGAATAATCATTATTTACATCTACATTCTTAATAATAAGAATAAAGTAAGTAAGAATTTATTGATAAATCAATAACAAAAAATCTACTGGAAATTATTGATAACAATAAATGAATAGGTTGACAACAATTTTATCGATTTGTAATATTTAAAAAGTAGACATTTAAGCCCTGTACTTTTAAAAAGTGACCTTTGGTATTCAAAGACTTGCAAAAAAGTGCAACGAGATTAATGAAAAATAACAACTCACACTTTTATGTGAATGTTATGTCATGACGTATTATAAAAATATTAATAATGATAATAATAACAATAATAATCTTTGATGATAATAATAATAATAGTTTTTTAAAATACCTTCATTAAAGTTTTTGTGCATTATTACTAATGAAATTAAATTTAAAAAATATTTACACCTAAAAATATTGATAAAAACATATATAGACACCAAGGTAAAGTCTAAAAATAAATATTTTTAGTTTAATTAGTGCTTATCAAAGATTCTAAGCTTTAAAAAATTAGTATAGGTAAATTGTATCTGCATAAATATATATAAACTACTCAGTAAATCATCAGCAGAGTATCAAAACAAAAATTTGTAGGAATGTGTGTTTACGAAGTAATTACGAATAGGTATACGAATCGTATAAGAACAATAGATAGTAATAAATAATGAGAAAAATGAAGAAAATTAATTCTTCTTTAACAATAATAACAAATAAAAAAATCGAAATCAAGATTAACAAAAGAAAAGTGTCCTAATCATTAATTAATGAACGCTAAAAATCGACTTTGCTTATTCTCAATGCGTATAAGTATTAGAAAGCAAAACATAAGACTTGTATTCTGTGCTTGCTTTATAATCATTATAAGATAAAAATTGATATAGATAAATTTCAAAAGAACAATTTGATTGATAAAGAAATTATTTTATATTAAATGATAATTTTTAATTTTCCTAAAATAAACATTGAATATTTACATTTTAAAATTATTGCCAATTGTATTTTTCTTGAAATAGGCCGAAAATGTATACACTAAAGATATCATTTAATGCCATTGTAATTAACGGTAGAATATATTCAGGAATTTTAGATATTTTATACTGACATTGTGTATATTTATTATAAATGATGATTAAAATGATATAAAAACTAAAACGAATAATATACGTAATGAGATTAACAAGCGTTACAAGGAACAAAAACCGTGCATACATTTAATTAAAATATTATCTATTGATCTTAGGAATTTTATTTTTTCGTCATTGGTGATATAAATGAGAAGCTTGAAAGTAAATTTAAGTATTAAAAATTATGAATATCTCTATTTGTATAATTATAACTGATTAGATAATATTTGAAAAATAAAGTAAGGAGAGATTATCATATATGTAATTAAAAAAGCTATAATTCTCGTATGAATCATTTCATTGTCTCATGATATGTATGTTCAGAGTGTTGATATATTCATGATTAATTATATGAATACATCATCATTATTATCATTATTATTATTATTATTATTATTATTATTATTATTATTATCTTTGAAAATTCATTTTAAAATTTTATTTCATTAAATATTAGATAAAGAAACAGTTATTTACTGCACGTATACGCTATTTCTGTTGATGAAAAAATTATTTAATAAACTAAAATCGTTTGGACTAAAGTAAATACCACAAATAGCGTAATGATGAACTAGGAATCTTGATAACTATTATCAATTTATAATAACAAAGAAAAAAAATCAACTAATAAAAATAAAATAATCATTTGGTGACACCATAATTAGCTGGTAATTGAGTATGTTACTATTAATCCAAAAAAATCAAACTAATGTAAAAAGAAGTAAATGATGTATGTATTAGGGAAATAATTATAATTCCATTACTTGCAGCTTATTTTTTAATATTTATAAATTTTTATGTAATTCATAAACACGTATCAATTGTAAAACAATTAAACTCCAATTAATTAACTAAATTGCAATCATTTTTATGGTAATTGTTATTTGGATTTTTCGTTGTTACTATTATTTATTAGTATTATAAAAAAAAAAAAAAGTGAATGAATGCAAAAAAAATACATTTACTCTAGTTTGTAAGCAAATGAAATTCTAAAGGGAAATTCAAAAGTTAATGTATTTGTCGTGATTGTATATTAAAATGGTGAATGATAATATATTAATTGTTATTAAATGAGTACCTTAGAAAGCTTATTAGATAAATTATTATGAAATATAAAAACAATAATTGTAAAAAAAGGAAAACCATACTTTTGTTTTTTAATTAAATAATATATAGTTTCAGAGAAAATACTCGTTTTATTATTAAAGAATACTTGAGTATTAGCAACAAGGATTTATATAGATTTTATAATAAATATAGGTATATTTTTTTCTATTACCATTTTTGAGGAATACTCCATTGTATTTCGGTTTTATATATATTATATGCATATACTTCCATACTTAACACAATCATGTAAAATTATTTTTTGGATCTCAAATGATGACATTAAAAATGTATATATAATTATGTGTATACATAAACTATCATCTCAATTTATTTTTAAACTAATTGAACTATTAATTTTATTTACCGTAGCTAACAAGTACAAATTAAGTTTTATTTACTAAAAACTTAAAATAATATTTACATTTGAAAAAAGCTATTAATGTAAATCTTAAAAAAATAGTAACATCAATGATTCTTCTCTGTTGTTATGTATACATGTAAATATATATTCTCGTATTGAATTGAATATATTACTTATCTTTTTACATTAACTTTTATATATCATAAAATTGATAGATAAATGTATTATGTAATAATATAAAGAAAAATTCATACTGGTACGAATTTAATGATAATTTACTTTATATAGTATCATACATGTATGTACGATTTTTTGAAGCTTCTATAAATATGTAACATTATAATGTGAGTATGTATTATGAATGATTGAGTTAATATTAAAGAAAAAAATTAAGAATAAGAGATGTCGAAAAAAACATAATTAAAAAAATTTAATAAATAAAACATTTTAGCTCATCTAGTTATATTAAATTTTTACAAATAATCCTGTATTACTAATGGCTATAAATATCCTGACTTAATCATGTTAATTAAAAACAATTGATACTCATCAAAATGTTCAATTTATATATTAATATAGCTTAACATGGTGTTGGTAAATCCTATTACAGGTATATCGTACAATAAAATCAGATAAGATGCATTGATTTGTTATCACCGTCCACTGGACTTTGTAATAATACCGAAGAATATGTGTTCAAACTATTATAAATAAATAAATAAATAAAAAAAGTAGTGTAACTAACCGATAAAGGATCACACAAAAAATTGTAGATTTTACTTATCAATGGAAAAAAAGTCACTTGAAATAATTGATTTTTTATAAACATTTGTATATCAGATCAATTATTATAATTGAATTTCAAGTGAAAATGAAAAAATGACCTTATTTTAAAAAAGAAATAATTCAACAAACCAATCAAATATCAAAGGAGATTTGAAACGTATCTTATCTTAAGAATTATTAAATAATCGATTGATTCAACAAACGGTATAAAAGCATTCATTTCAGCAGAAAATGAATATCGATTGTGAGTTGTCTCCATCACAGTAAGTATTTAAGGCAGTTAGATCTAAAGTAACACAATTATTTTTTAAGTAAAAAAAATAAAAATATTAAATAGATAATCAATTTTTTAGATGAAAGCACCAGTGGTATTGCTATTAGTCATTGGACTAACATTTTACAGCACTACACAAGTAAATAGCAACCCTGTACCTGCAACACGTGCTCTTCATGATGACTTGATCGATTTTCTAAACTTATTGCCTCAGGATAAAATAATCGAAATATTTTTCGAATACTTGGCAAATGATGATGAAGTCAAATTCGTTGTCGAATATGTCCAAACAGCGGAATTCCATGAATTAGTGAAGGCTATTGAAGCTGTTCCTGAAGTAGTGAACTTCGTTAACTACCTAGAAGAATCAGGTCTAAGAGTTTATGATTTCGTGAATAAAATACATGATGCAATTGGATTACCACCAATCTATCATTCACATCTATTGAGAGGAAAATCTTACAATAGACAAATAACTGGAGGTGTTGCTGGTCTTATCTTTGATATCAAAGCTATACTACCAATGGAAGATATCAAGGCTATGTATTATCACAAATTAGAAAATTCAGTAGAATTCAAAGAACTTATTGACCGTCTTCAGTCACCAAAACTTCAAGAACTTATCAACCAATTATACACTAATGACGAATTCTTAGCCATCCTTGAAACTCTTAGAAGCTTTGGTGTTGATCTTCAAGCATTTGCTGATCTGCTTTATACTATATTAGGTCTTGAATTCCCTTACAATGTCGCAATTGCTCGAAATCATAATGAGCCATCAGCTTATGTTGATTTTAATGATTTTTATGCAGCTATATCGCATGAAAAAATTTCATTCGTAATCCAAAGGTATATAGAACATGACAGTGAAATCAAGGCAATCATGGCGTACATGAAAACTGATAATTTTAAAGACGTCGTGAAGATTGTTCACAAACTCCAAAGTGTCAACGATCTTTATCACTATCTTGATCAATCTGGATTAAATATTTACCCAGTCGTCAACGCCATACACAACAAGTTGATAGAAAGCCGTGTGTTGTCAAACCATGCATTAGAGACGAAACAATCTTCTGCAGTACCTCCTACAAGTGGACTTCTCGGTTTGATTGATGAACTCTTATTCTCACTTCCATTGATGGAATGGTACAATATATACCAAGACAAAATGGTCAATGATAAAGCTTTCCAAAATTTTGTAAAAAGAGTATCATCTCATGATTTTAAAATGGTTGTTAAAACTATCTTTGAAGACAAAACATTTAAACAAGCTGTTGATAGAATAGCAATGAATGGTTTTGATATTACTCCTATTATCGATTTCATTTCTACAGCTCTTCATATTGATAGCCGCAGTGTTTCATTTAGTACCCGAAGCGAAAATCTTCATGAAGATTTCAAGGATTTCATTGAATTATTACCTAAAGATGAAATGATAAAAATTGCTATCCAATACTATTTAACTGATCCTGATGTCAAAAAAGCTGTTGCTTATCTCCAATCAGAAGAATTTAGAGAGCTTGCACTGAAATTTCAACATGATAAAGAATTTCATGAACTTATCTTATACTTCAGAGAATCTGGTGCTGATGTTGTAGTATTAATCAACATGGTTAATGAATTATTAGGACTTCCTGATTTCCCTGATATCCATGCTCGAGCTTTGAAAAGCTATTTGACTATTACAACTTTTCATACCCAACAAACATTGAGTTCTGTTGATAATAAAAGTGGAGGCATGCAAGCTATGTTGAATGAAATCCGTAGTATTATACCATATGACGATATTCAAGCTATGTATAATTTAAAAATGGAAAATTCAGTACACTTCCAATACTTTGTCGAACGAATGAAGGCAGCAGAGCATCAAGAACTAATTGATAGATTGGTACAGAATGAAAACGTTTTAGCATTAGCATACCAAGCTCACATTCACGGAATTAATATCGAACATATTGGTCAAATATTGTTTGAATTATTTGGACTTGAATTCCCAAAAAATCCATTCGGTTATTAATTTAAAATATTAAACCTGCCAACGCTGCTATTGTGATTATATAATAATGAAAAATTTTAAATAAATTGATGCAAACCTTTTTAAAGAAGCATGAATTTTTGTTCATTATTTTCCTTTTTATTAGTCAATCCAAACATCAATATCATCAATAAAGAAATTTATATTTTTATTAATTAACTGTGTTATCTAGTAATGTTAAGGATATTATACTAAGATAAAAAGGAAATTATTGTTACCGATTTGATTGTGTGTGCAGTAGTTTGTACTTATCTAGTGACAGCAGCAAAACACGACAAAACTTATGTCGTATTTGTGTTGTTTATTAATACTGGTTGTTATTTTTAGAATAAACGTTTTAAAATTTTTTGTACATAATTATTTAATAAATAAGTAAAATGTCTCGTGAATCGATAAATTTATATGTAAAACAACCGATTAAACGATTGGAAATACCAATAAGTAAATTTGACGTAGCAATTTCTCATCATTTAGATTTATTACAAAGACATAAAAACAATATTAAAAAGGTAAGATCATGAATTTATGCTATAGTGAAAAATAATAATAATAACTGCTATTATTATACTTATTTAAATACTAGTTGTAATTCTTAAAAATATAATATATTAAAGAATGTGATTAATTATGAAATAATTATTATTCATTTTGATAGTTTGAAAAGATAAAAGATTGGAATAAGGTTCACAAAGAACAAATAAATGCATCAAGACTAGTGAAGCAACTTGAACAACTTGTATATGAAATGGATACGTTGCGAGGTCAAGTTAAGAATGAGGATATAGAAAAGTTCGATAAGCTAACGTGGCAATCAAGGTGTTCAACAATAAATGCTATCCAAGAATATTTAGGTAATTTTTTATATGACTAAAAATTTGTGTTTATTTCTGAAAAAACAATAACCATATTTTTTCTTGATTTTTTACAGAAATGGAATTAGCATCTGATCCTCCAGAGACAACAGAGAAAAAATTCAAAGATGAATCTCAAATAAATGAGCCAACAGATGATGATGATTCATCAAATAATGATCAAGATAATCAACTCTTACAGGTAGAAAAAGAACTGGAAGAATTAGAGAGAAAAAAATCTTGCCTGAATACGTGGAATTTATTACAAAATGATCTACACCAATTACGTCAACTATTTATTGATTTAAATCGATTAATTAATGTGAGTTGACTCATAATTTGCATAATGATTCTCATAAAAATTATAATAATAAATTTAAAATAAAAATGTTGAATATTAATAAAAAAGGTACATTGAATTGAATTACAGGATCAAAAAGAAGATGTCAATAAAGTAGAAGATCACGTTATTATAGCTGATGAAAATGTAAATGAGGGAAACAAAAACCTAGAGAAAGCATTGAAGCTAAAAGCAACGGCCTATCCACTTGCTGGAGCCCTTTTAGGAACTTGTATTGGTGGGCCGGTTGGTTTAATTGCTGGATTAAAATTAGGAGGATTAACAGCCTTTGGCTGTGGAATTTTAGGTAAAAATTCCGGTAAAAATAAATATAGTATTATTATGATAAGTAGTCAGTTTTTAAATTCTCATTTATTTTTTATAGGATATGCTGGCGCCACAATTCTTAAAAAAAACCAACTTCAAAAAACTAAGAATGTCGATACTCACGAAATGACGACTTCAAAAACAAATTTTAATTCAGTTTCTTCAAAAGAACCAAAAAAGCAACTATGACAAACAAATAGATTAAAATTAAAAACGAAATGTGATATACTCTAGTTTTTTAATTTATTACTTAAATTCTAATAATAAAAGGTTTAAAAAATTTGTACATATACTCATGCATTTATACATACTCATGTATACTCATCTTGCTAATGACTCTGTGATAAACATTTGAATCCAATCATGGGCATGATTATAGTTTGCGCAGAAGCCGTAATCTCCCTCATTTTCCATTTCTTTTTATTGTTCTTAAATACATAGTTATATTTTACGGTCAAATAACATAAAAAAAGATTTTATGTGATACTTTAATGCGAGGCAAAAGAAGAGTTCATTTCATTCGAAGATGACTGCGAAAATGGCGTCTAAAAATTACACAGCTAGGGTCACTTATTTGTCGGTGCAACAGAACTTGCCTTCAATATCAACGAATGATTGAAATTCTGATATTTTAGTTCTTTCTTTGAACTTTTGAGTTCTATGTCATGTAATTCCCTATACACTCGGCTTCATTAATGCCTGGTGTATCCTTAGAGAGCAATTACTGACTGCGGGTATAATTTTTTTACATTGAGTTTCTAATCTAGAATTTTTTAAGCTCAGGCTAAACTCAAAAAACTGTAAAATTCGTGATTACATTCCAAATATGATGTTTTAGAGTGTAAAATATTTTTTTCAATTATTAAAAAGGTCGAAAGGTCTGCCGTAAATAATAATAACCAACAAAAATTTCTTAAGAAATTAATAAATTATAAATTTCTAATGTCATGTTTGCACGGCCATCTTAATTTCCAGACATGCAAAATAAATAACTAACTACTCTCTTTTTAAGGAATTTATGCTAATTGTTGTTGATTACGACATAACTTTGTACCTTACTAATACGAAAAAAAATTATACTATGTACTAAAACATCATATTTTTAATGTTATCTTAATTTCTATACTTTTTTCAGTTTAGCCGAAGTAAAAAAAAATTGTAGATTGGGAACTCAATGTAAAAACAATCATACCCGCAGTCAGTAATTGCTCTCTAAGTGTACACTCGGCGTCATTAATGCCTGGTCCATCAAAAACTTTGATACCATCCGAGCAATTATCGATGGAGTAGTTTTTTTTTTTAAATACTCTTTTAGATAGTCCCTACAACAATAGAATATCCCGACTAAAAAATTTCTAAACCTTAATTTAAATAATAACAAGAAAATTTAAGTAATGATAATTATAATTTAATTATAAACTCAAGTTTATAATTACTATAATCAAACTATCATTAATGGTCACGATTATTTCATAATAACTGGAGAAGTAAGTTTAAGTTTCCCGTCTCTCTTCTCTGGTTATACTGACAGCTGATTTCAAATACAGTCAAAGCCCGATGTAGTCAACCCCGTTGTAAGCAACATTTCATTCTAATCAACTAAATGCTTTCATTACAGTCAACTTCCCCATCTCCCACCAAAAACATTTTTAACCAATGAGAACCTTTTGTATTTTAAATTGAGACATGGTCACTTATTAATTTTCAGGCTATTCATTTATTTCTTATCAAATAAAATATATTTAATAACAATATTATTAAATTAATATAATAAATTAATTATTCATTTACTTGTTATAAAATAAAATCTATTCAAATACATATCACATTTCGGAGGTTATACATTACACATACTATTTATCTATATTTAATTCATTGCGCATCTTAATGCGCAGAGAAGAACATCTGATAGACAGAGATAGATATATTTGTAATGAGAGTGGGGTTAAAAAGCATTGGAGGAGAATGGTAACTACATTGAAAGTGACAAGATTTTTTGGGTTGACTACATCGAGCTTTGACTGTAGGACTTTTTATACGTTCGGGATTTTCCGTACGTATTCGGATCTGTTTTAAGCGCCTTCGAGCAGAAACCAAATACGTGAAAAGTCATTTTCAATCATAATCCTCAGGTAGAAAATAGTTAACTGAAAGATAACTCTATTATTAAGTAAGAACGATCTCTTTCTCCGCAAGATGTTTAAAAAATTACTTTTGGGTTTCGAAATAAATGAATTTTTGGTAAGATAAAATTGAATCGATTAAAGTTTTTAATTATTTTATTGATACAGTTGTTTCATTAAAAATTAAATTGCTCAAGGTACAAAAATTCAAGTGATTAATCCAAACATCAATATCATCAATAAAGAAATTTATTTTTTTATTAATTAAGTGTGTTATCTAGTAATGTTAAGGATATTATACTATATTATACAAAAATTTAAGTGATTAATTCTCTAATTATTTGAATTGTACAAAGTCCAGAAGATAGCGTAGTATACGCTTAAAAGTTGTGCTTTCCCTCGGAGGCTCAAAAGTTCGGATAAACGTCTTCAGATCTACGATGGTCAAGTAATCCAACACTTTGTCGATACACTCATGAGGAAGTTCTTGATTAATATTTGAACTAAAGTATTCCCTAGCAGATTTCTTTAGTTTATATTGTCTATATCGAATTTGTGCATCTCGAAGTCGGAATCTTATAATACCTATATATAATGGAAACTTTTCATCATAAATGGATGGTTTTAAAATTTCTTGGATTTTCTTATTTTCCATTAATATACCGAGAAGATGAATGTGATGTGTTAACAAATCATATAAAAACATGTTATTAATGCCAACACTTTCCATCTTCATTCTTTCAATTTCCTCTTCACACTTGAGTGTATCTTCTGAATCATTTAAAACTGTATTGGATTTTAATCCGTCTATTGCAGAATATTTTACTCCATTAGTAGTTATGAACTCACATACACTTACATTGTGTCTAGCAGTCTTTAATTTAATTATATGTGACACTAGCATTTGGATTATCGTATGAATATTCGAATTTACGGAGGAAGTTGATAACATCTTATCAACAGCACATTGAAGCAGAGATTGATTTTTTTTGTCTGAAATATTAACATTAGCACCATATCGTAGAAGGCATTTAACTGCTTTATCATTTCCGCGAATACAAGCTACAAAAAGAGGTGTCCGGCCGTTCTCATCTACAGCTTCAATATCTGCATTTTGCTTCAGCAAGAACTGCATTACTTGGGGAGTTGTTTCAAATTTCCGTAAACAAAATAGGTGCAGAACTGTGTAACCACGCTGATTAGAAGCATTTGGATTAGCATGATTTTCCAAAAGAACTTTAGCTGCTTCAATATTTCCAGTTCGACAAGCTTCGAAAAGAGGAGTCCAACCTTTCGCATCTACAGCTTCAATATCTGCATTATGTTTTAGCAATAACTGTATTATTTGGCGAGTTGAATTAGATTTCGATGAACAAATAGAATGAAGAGCTGTTTGACCTTCCCGATCCCTTACATTTGGATTAGCATGTTTTTCCAAAAGAAATTTAACTGTTTTGTCATTTCCGTTGTAACAAGCGTCAGAGAGAGGCGTCCAACCTTTCGCATCTACAGCTTCTATATCTGCATTATGCTTCAGCAATAACTGTATTATTTGGAGAGTTGTTTCAGATTCCGATGAACAAATAAAGTGAAGAACTGTTTGACCTTCCCGATCCCTTACATTTGGGTTCGCATGATTTTCTAAAAGACTTTCCACTGCTGCAATATTTTCAGAGATACAAGCTACAAAAAGTGATGACCAACCTATATTGTTCACAGCATTAATATCTGCATTATGTTTTAACAATAACTGCATTATTGTGAGCTTTTTTTCAAATTTCGATAAACAAAGACGGTGAAGAGGTGTTTCACCATCCTGATCCGTTAAATTCGGATTCGCATGATTTTCTAAAAGACTTTTAACTGCGGCAATGTTGTCAGAGATACAAGCTACAAAAAGTGGTGACCAACCTATATTGTTCACAGCATTAATATCTGCATTATGTTTTAACAATAACTGTATTATTTGAAGAGTTGTTGCAGATTTCCGTGAACAAATGAGGTGAAGAGCTGTTTCACCATGCTGATTAGTAGCATTTGGATTATCATGATTTTCCAGAAGAAATTTAACTGCTAAAATATTTCCAGTTCTACAAGCTTCAAAAAGAGGAGTCCAACCTTTCGCATTTATATTTTCACTGTCTGTAAATATCACTGTATGTCCAAGGACAGCTTGATGTAACATGGTTTGTTGACTTTTGATAAAATTATGTAAGTTTTCTTTAAATTTTCTTTTTGACACAGAAGTAAACACAAACACGTATTTATGAACATATACATATATTGTCACTGAAGTGTAATTCACGCTAAAAGAAGTCAATGTAAAAGTTTTTCTTTTATTATTAAACTTTTTGCACTACTAGAATACACTAAGTATTATATACTTCAATATTATACGATTTCACTGAAACAATTTAGGCACCGACAGTTGGTCGGAACAAGAAGTTTCTCATCCGCTTTTGTGGGCAAACTGAAGAACTTCACTCTCTGGTAGTCTCCACCAACGTCAGTTTTACAAATGTGCTTTTTCTAAGAAATAAATACGCCGAGAGTCACCCGAAGGGATAAGACCCCTAATTTTCCCTCGTTCTACCTGCAACTTACCATGCGTCCTAAAATATGATGTCATCCTAATTGCAAGCGAAATATGTAGTATTGTTAATTTCAACAATGATGATAATCTAAAAATTTCAATTACATTACTAAAACAAGTTCTTTAAATTACTCGCGTTTTTGTACTATCTACCTAAAGTAAAATTTACGGCATTCATTTTTTTACGTGTATTACAGCATAAGGGTATTCACCAATCAAAAACTTAAGTCGTAAGACGTACAATTTCAGACGTACGTCTTACGGCTTACGTTTTTGTAGAGAAAATTGACCTGCATAGAAGTTCAATGCTGTGTTCTGTTTAGGGATCGTCCTAGGCTACCCCAACCGTGTTAAACTCCTACCTGACTCCATAAGAACCCATACTAAATTTTTTGAACACATCGGTCCATTTGAAATAAACTTTTATTCCCGTCTCTCTTTTCTGGTTTTTGGTTGTGTGAACGGTCTATAAGCCGTAAAACGTACAATGGGTGGGAATTGTATTTGCTCACGAACTGTAAATTATCATTTTTCAAACGATTTCCTTGTTACCTACTCAATTCCAGTTGACATCGAGCTTTCGTCTTCCGCCGCACAACGCGAGGCCGTAAAGTCAACTTAGGGAAATTTTCTTTGACTTCAGCCCAGTCCAGAGCTAGACTTATCCTATTCATATCGCGTAGTACAGTACCGGGCATAAATGCTGTGTGATTTTCTATAAGACGGTATAGGGAAATCACTTATATAACCTTTAAAAAATTAAACAGCATTTATGTCCGGTACTGTATACAATTGTTCTCTGTCATTTTTGTATAGTATGTATTTAATCTACAGTACCAGCCATGCAGCTGTCTTCCGATTTTTTTCTCTTATAAAATACAACATAGTAATAATATAAGAACATAGCTATATAATGATTTACTAGTCACAGTGACTTGAAGTGTATACAATTTCATATCAATTTATTTCATAAAAATTGTATTTTTCAACTTTTAATCTGTGTGAACTTTTAACAATTTATAACTCGCCTTTTGTATTTTTGCATGAGCTCAATATTGTGCATGAATTTGTAATTGTCATATTTTCTACAGTATTCTTCAAAAATTTTCATAGTTAAAGTGGAATTTATGAATAAATAAATATTTATTTAGCATTAATAATAATTGATTATAATAATACTCACAAATTTTGGTGATTTCTAAGATTATTCATGAATCGTTGAGTGAAGTTTGATATTGGATTAATCAATATAATGTTATCTACCGGTAATACGTGTATACAATTATTCTACAGTGTGAAAATTATGAAAATATAATCTTAAAAGTAAATAAAGCATTACAATTGAATAAAAATGAATTGTATTTTCTGGATCTTACTTTTAACGAGCACCATTGTCGAAGGAAGAATTCATAAGCTTGAAATAAAAGTATATAACATATTATTCTTTACATAAATTGTATCATTTTAATGCTATTAATATTCCAATCATAGTATTAAGAATGTTTTCCCTATGACGTATGTGTTTTTATTTTTCAGAATGATGCCAGACGTTATATTACGCTTACAACATTTGGCTTTTATAAAGGCGGTATTCTTACCGTAAATTTAACTAACTTTAGAGTTAAACCTTTTAACGATAACGCTATAGTAAGCTTATTTGTTTATTAAACTTTCATACCTCTTTAACATTCACATAAATTGATTTTATGTTTTATTTCTAGTACGGATTCAGTTTAGACAAGAGCAAAAGCGATACTGTAAATCCTTACTTGGACAATTATCAAGAAAGATGTTTATTAAATAAAAATCATAATTTTAAAAATGATCTTGAATCTAAAGGGGATGATGCTATTATCTATTTTATCATGGATTTTAAAAACCTCCAGTAAGTAATACTATAATAAGTATCATAATTTAAGTATACCTTGATAATAATGCATTTTTTAATTTACTGAGTATTTCGTTTCTTTTAGAATAAAAGTAAGCTGTAGTTCCAATGTCAAATCTCTCCACATTCATAATCACATACCTAAGCTCAACAGTTTTCGAAAGAAGCGAGGAGGATTTGCATTCAGTAAAATTAATAGCGATAGTCAATTGTTACATTCTCGCTATAATAATCACAATGCTCATCACGAATTATCGAATGGTATGAGTTACAAATAAATTCATCAGAAAATTTATATGAAATTTAAATAAATTTTTTCAGATAAAACTATTGCCAGAAATAAACGAAGTAACAGTGAAGATGGAGACAATGCCGAAAAACCTGCTGAAGGTTGCTTAGATAAGCAATTAAATATGTCAGCAGTAATTATTGATGGGGAACAATATTTTAATGCTGAATTTGCTATGTATATAACAAATGAAGATGAAGAAGGACTGTATAATTTATATTTTCATAACTGTGCTAATTTTGACTACAACACTAGATCAACTGTTAATTTTGAAGTATGTAAATGAGATCACATTTTCATATTAATGTTATAACATTATGTATTCATATTTATAATGCTTTTTTTTTATTTAATATAGATGCATATTGCGGAAATAAACAATGGGAATTTTCTAAGCGCGGGTGAAATGCCTTTACCATCATTATACTTTCTAATGTCATCAACATTCTTTATTTCGGGCTGTCTCTGGGTCTATATATTGAAAAAAAGCCAGTAAGCTATTAACATCATTGAGTTATGAGCTAATAATTATCATGAATAATATTAATAATTTAAAATTTTTTAACAGAAATCCCGTTTTTAAAATCCATTACTTAATGGCAGTTTTGATATATTTGAAATCTTTTTCGTTACTATTTCATGGAATCAACTATCACTTTATTCAAACAAAAGGCGAACATGTGGCAGCTTGGGCAATTTTGTATTATATAACACATTTATTAAAAGGCGCTGTTCTATTCATCACAATTGTTCTTATTGGAACAGGATGGGACTTTATTAAACATATACTCGCTGACAAAGATAAAAAACTTTTTATGATAGTTATACCTCTGCAGGTATTTACCAAAATGATAGAACAATAAAAATATATTTTTGATATTTCTTAGTATTTATTATTTGCAGGTTCTTGCAAACGTCGCAGAAATAATCATAGAAGAAAGTGAAGAAGGTGATGTAGAGTATAAAACATGGCGTGACATATTTATTCTCGTAGATCTTCTTTGCTGTGGTGCTATTCTATTCCCAGTTGTATGGAGTATAAAACATTTACGAGAGTCTACTACCAGTGGAAAGGCTGCAATCAATCTACGGAAACTTAAACTCTTTAGACATTTTTATATCATGATTGTTTGTTACATTTATTTTACAAGGATTATTATGTATCTACTTAAGGTAATTTATTCAAAAACATTTTTCTTTTATATAATTTATAAGGGAAAACGTATATGTACTAATGAATCTTTTTTGTTTTGTTCACTCTTATTCATGGACCCTAATAGATGACAGTACCATATCAATACGAGTGGCTGGACCAACTTTTTAAAGAAATGGCCACCTACATTTTCTTCGTTCTCACAGGCTATAAATTCCGACCAGCATCAGCAAATCCATATTTTACATTGAATGATGATATCTCTCCGGGTGATGATGATGAAATGGATGTCGTGTGAGTATATTTTTTTTGTCAATATTTTTTTTTTGTGATGATAGATTAATGATTTTACAGATATGCTTTCACGGTTTATAATTCATAAATCTAGCATACAATGTTTCTTATTTTAATATTATTACCATAGTCTTTTTTCTAGTGTTACTGCAAATAGAGGATTACCAGAAGGTCTTGGAAAGGTATCCAGAGCTAAAAAAAATTTAAGATTAACAACAGAAGTCATCCTTGGGGATGAAGAAAGTCAGGATTTAATTAACAAAAGAGAAGCATCTCATGAATATGATTAATTAAATAAAGAATAAATTAATTCAACAAAATGTAGCTATTGATTTTTCATTTTACCATTTCTTATAATTAAGTTCTGTTTAATTCATCTCAATAAAAACGTTAGTTTTGATAACAAAAAGTATCTTAATATTTTTTAAAATTTTTTATAATCTACATTTTCATAGATTTCTTTGATAATCACAGTTGTTATGGTAGTTTTCGAAAATTTTTACCTTCAGATATATAGAAATTACTTTTTACAGGTTACATTACTCATCTATAATTTTTTTTCTCTATGATTGAAGAACATTATTTTGGAACATTAGCGTATTCAATTGAGTGCTCGTACATGATCGAAATTACATTATTACTATTATTTAAGTTATAGTTTGTTTTTCAACATTAACATATAAGTGTTGAAAAAAATATTCACCAAATTGACGGTAGTCTTTTTAAATAAACATATTCAACAAAGTTTTTATAGGTTTTTACTAGGTTTATTTATATATTGAACCGTTTCAAAATTCTTCTCCACAGCGAATGTTACTTTTGAGCAGTAAACTCTAAATAAATGTACAAATATTAGTCTAAGAAGATATCATTATAAAATATTTTATCTCAAATATGTCTGTGGAGCAGAAAGGATTAACTGTCACTGTGCATTTCGGGTAAAATATTCAAATACACTTTACAAAGTTAAATGTTTTTATCACACAACAATTTGTTTAATTATCATACAGAGGTGGAGCTGAAAATTTATTCGGTAAAAAGAAAGATCATAAAGTCTGTTTACCTGATGCGCAGAATGAATGTAACTTTTCTCTTAATCAATTCCTTATAAATAATATAATTTAATGGTAGAAATAAGAATAATTATTGTTGCAGGGACATTAGAAAAATTAATTTTTTGGATTAGAGATAATTTATTAACAGAACGAGAAGAATTATTCCTTCAAAATAATACAGTGTAAGTTAATCTTTTTTTGTATAAACTTATGAAAATATTATGAAAAAAAATTAATTAAGTACATTGTAATTATTGAGAATATATATTTTCAGACGACCAGGAATTCTAGTAGTAGTAAATGAAACAGATTGGGAATTATTGGTAAGATTAAAATATGCTTTATTTTATTATATTTTTATTTATAATTTACAAACGATAAAAGCGTGACAATTAAATTAAACGCCTTATTCAAATTTTGGTAGTCAAAAAGATTCTCTTACATCTAGATTAATTTAGATTATTTTAATGAATATTCAAATATTATGTTTTGTTCTTAAACTTTATCCACAAAGATTATAAAAGCGATCACTGAAATCTCCATGGCCTCCGTTTGCCATTCCCACAAGTCCTACTATCATTTAGAATTTTTAAAATACTCGAGTCATCTTGGCGGCTATTGAGATAGGGAAGTAGTATCTTGGGAAAATGTACATAGAAGTTCAGATGAAGAGTAAAGTTATGAAAATGGAAAAACTAAGTGAAATCAGACAGTAAAAAATCCGTAGACATTATTGTAATGAAACAATTTTATTTTTTTTCAAACTAATTAACTTATACATTTTATTTTATTTGTACTCTTAATACGATAGATTAAAGTAAATACACCAACACATGAACAGTTAACTCTAAAATATGGACAAAATATAAAAAATCATTAAGACGACAAAATCCATTTTTATTGAAAGAATTCCATTTTTTTTGTATACAGAGAATTTTTTCACTAAATGCAAATACAAAAAGTGACGAGTCCACGTTTCGAAATTTAGAAATAGAAATATTTCTGTACAATAGTGAATTTTTGGTTGTCTAAAGTAAATTTGATACTTAAAAGGTGTTTTAGTAAAATAATTACTTAAGATAACTCAAAAATTACTTACGACAATGAAAATTCACTGTTAATTAGAAATATTTTTACTTATAAATTTCGAACGGTGCACTTGTCACTTTTTGCACTTACATTTAGTGACAAAATTCTCTCCGTGCAGTTCAATCAGACCATGTTTAAGAAGACAAAAGATATTTTATTGCATTTTATTTTTTAAAATTTTAATAATTTATTCATCCTTTCGGTAATGTCCATCTATTGACCCAGTCACCCTACACCTCATCTAGAAACATAAGCATTATTTAAAAAAGATGAATTTTGATTTATTCATTTTTCTAGGGCAACGAAAAGTATAAACTGTGTCCTGACGATCAGATCTATTTTATTTCAACACTACATGGTGGTTAATAATAAAATACTAATTCATTATTAATACCTTAAATTTATTGTAATCTAAATTTAAACATTTTTTATAATATTTTTGTATAAATAAAAGAACGATCTCGTTATTCACATGAAATCAGAATTTATTTGCTCTATATTAATACAAAATTAAACAATTATATTTACATATAGATGTACATAAATCATGTAAACATTAGCTGCACACATTAATTTACCATTTTACTTGTAGTCACTTCTATTTGTAAAGAGTTGTGAGATAATTTACGCACCCAATAGATCAATTGCATATCCTAATAAATTAAATTATGCTTTACAACTTTATGCTAATTTATTATACTAAAAATACTATTGTTTATCCTGCGTTAATATCAAATTGTTCATCAATCGTTACTTCTAAATGATTTAAAATATCATTTCTATTTTATTAAATTAAAAATAGTGTCATTTAATGCTTTGTTGAGAATGAAATGAAACATTAAGAAAGTGAATTGCAACTGTGAAATTGAAGAATACAGATATTTTCGAAAATAGTGTAATCAATGGAATAAAATATGAACCAAGTTACACAAAACTAGCTGTTGATTTAAAGTATTGTTGTTATGAATAAATATTTAACGTTGCTTCGTGCCCCAAGCGCTGATGTCCCCACACAATTCTTGATTTCATTTTATTTATACAAGAATTGCGTTTGGACAATCATAGCCTGGCACAACGATTTAATTTTCCAAATCTACTTGATTTCCTTCGATAATTTGTAATCATAGTCCCTTGAAACAGAGATAATAGAAACGATTCAAATTATAAAAATGTTCTTGTCTATCTAAATATGCATTCTGTTATTTTCCATCTCGAGACCATGCGTATTCGTATGTATATTTTATATTATACATAAGCCAAACAGTATGTGTATTGAGGAAAGCCTGAGGGAAATCTTTTCATGTCACAGGACGCAAGAGTCCTATTTATTCTGAAACCCTTATCGTTGCATACATATATGTATATTTATATTACACAGATACATAAAATCAGGATTGTCTCTGGTCAACCGTCTTTCTTTATATTTTAAAAATACTTTCATTTTATCACATCAAATTCTTTTGCACTCACACCTTAATAAAGTAACCCTATTTAAAAAACAAAATAAACGACAGACTAGTGGATATAAGAATTTTCTTTATGATAAAATTATCAATTTCGAATTTAATTAATATTCAAAACTAAAATTTTTCATTACTATTTATTTAGAGTCTTTTAAAAATAAATGAATGATTAATTTTTGAATTCTTAATAAGATAATTATATAAACACGTTTACATTTATCTTCCTATTAAATTCCCACTAAAGTATCCAGCTCTTCATACGGCTGTATCAAACATATTATCACGTTTCCAATAAACGTGGTTGGTCTATTATTAGTTCATTTACTTTTAATTAATTGTAATAGTGATTACAATTTAACCACCAGTAGAAATGAAACTTTTCAACTTATACAATAAGAATTTATGTATATATAAAATTACTCGAATTGTATAGAATTTCGAGTAACATTTCAATATTGAATTATAGCTAATATTAAAGAAATGTTCATTTATATCAAATGCTGCGAAATCGCGATAGTTACTAACACAGTCAAATAGATGAATCAATTGTTTTCTACTTTTGGGGGTAGGAAACAAGTAGCCGTAACTTGGTAACTCGTGACCCCTGTGATAGTGCGGTTTGGACTTGCTTTCTCGCACGAGTACTGCCACGTGCTGAACGCACACGGTAGCGTAAAGAGAAGAAAAGTAAGAGAGAGAGAGCGAGAGAGAGAAAGAGAGAGATAGATAGAGAAAGAGCACAAGAGAGGGGGAGGGAGAGAATGTACCACACCCTTCAAAATGGATCGATAGTCAACCTCTCTGAACTAAAAAAGAAAGAAAAAACCACCCTAAAACATCGATTGCGGAATCATAATAAATTGTAAAAGGAAAAATGATAAAAACGTTGTTATCAATGATAATAAAACAACAACAGACACGTACGCAATTTAACACACGTATCAGCAAAGCCGAAAAATTGAGCAATAATATTCACCAGCCAAATAATTTAACGTATGTGGAATTTAAATTAACTATAATTCAGGAATAAAATAATTGTCTAAACAAAGCAATTTCATTCCCGGGTTGAATCTTTAGCCATATTACTGCATTGCGACAATTGGACAACTACTAGTGTCCAACGATTGTCCATAATGAATAATTTATAACAAATCAAAAAAACCCAATTGACTTTATAAGTAAACACTGACGATAAATAAATTTTTAGACTATTGGATTTCATTTAACTTGGTGTGATGAGTTTTGTTTCTATTCTGTTATATTAATTAAGATCAGTTTTATCGAGTTTCAGTAAAGTGATTAGATATGATGTCGAGTGTCCAGAGTTTGAAAAAGTCAAAACAAATGATAAATCATCAAATAAATGAAATAATAAATAAACAAAATTGAAAGTAATAAAATGTAATGTAGTGTTAATTTCATTTTAGCCTCATTAACGTAATTATAAGTTGAAATTTATATTCTCCTGTTAATTATATAAACTGACTCACTGCAATGTTACATGAATGCAAAATCATATTGCATTTCTCATCAGAGATAATACAATTTAAGTTTTTTTAATTAATCAACTATGTAAATGAATGAAAAAATTATAATTATAATTCTCATTCTTTTTGCAAGAAAATTACATCCAGTTTTTATAAAGGTATTAGTGTATTACCAAAAAAAAATACAAAGAACATTAATAGAAATTTAATTATTTATTTTGTAATTTACTGTTAAATTTTGGATGTTAAAGTTTAATGAAGTATTAAGTATTTATAATAAAAGATTTTTCCTTGAATTATGCTTGTTCTAGCATGCCATCATTTGCTTTATCAACAAACTCAATATTTATTGTATTTTTTTGCCATTTATTATTAGAGAATATCCATGGCGTCAAAGAATATGTGCAAAAGTAGTTATATCCTTCTTCTTATTATATCATTCTCGTTGTCTTTTCTCTTGTGGGAATTTTTCGTTGTCCCAAAGTGGAATTTAAGCTGTGATCGCGCATGACAATTTAATAAATCACAAGTCTCTGTTGACCTATTCAATCCTGAAAAAAACTCAAACGCTTTGACAATGTTTCACTTTCATTCTCTTCGTGTTCCAATTGTTTATACATAACCATGGTAAATTATTTTCATTTTATATTCAAATATGTTGTTAATTGAACAAAAAATTTGAATACATATTGAGGGAACTATCAAAAGTTATTCTTTGATTATTATTTGTTCTTATTAATTAAATATCACTAAAGAATAATAATTAATTATTTACTTATCCAATAAATGTAATATTCGATACTAAATTGATACCATTTTTCAAATTTCCATAATTTTATTGAATCATTAATTGCCATTTATTATTATGCTATGTATTTTGTCTCTTTCGGGGTTCAGTAATGAGCTCATATTATTATGTAAACAAACAAATGATGTAATTTTATGATTCATTAAAAATATTAATGAAAAAATACATTTTTAATCATTTAAAATAATACTTTCTAATACTTGTTTTATTTAATTTTTAAAAATACTTTTTTGTTAGTCAAATTTACTTACCATTCTGTAGAGAAATGGACCAATTTTTATTCTGTCTTTCGTGGCTGTTTTTATTGTATCAAATAAATTCAAATATAGATATAATATAAAAACACTCACAAATGTTTCAGTAATAAAAATGAAATAAAAAAATTTTTTTTTACCTAACAAAAATGATAAAAAACGAAAAAAATTTCACGTCATGCGTTTCTGTTACGCGCAGTAGATAGAGTAAATATCAGTCAGACAATCGATAATCTGATCTAAATTTTCTTCTCTACTGTTTCAATTATTATCCTAACTTTTGAAATATTCAGCATTCCACTATCATCAAACTTAATAATCATTATTTCTGAGTTATGAGTGATTGAGAATGATAAAAAATTATTTCAAGTAATAATTGCATCAATTTAATTGTGTGAGTTGTTTTAAAATATGTTCAATAAAATAAGAGTTTAGGTAAAAAGAATAATGTGATAAATAATGAAGAAATAGATGAATATACAAACAATTCCAGCGAAGTTTCGATTGAGTGTAAATTTCAATGTTCAGACAGTTCAGTAAGATTTGAAATCCCGTATCAAACTGCAGGGTGTCACCCTTGGTTGTATCCTCGAAACGACTTTCATCCCTCCTAACTCCCCTACTGCCCCTCCATTTTATAATAATCATTAGCGCCTGCGCATATACTAATCTTATACCCTCTTACTCTTTACCTACGATTATCTTTTTCCAAAATTTTACTCGTAATTTTGACTAGTGTCTGTCACACATAGGCACATGATTGGCATATGGAGAACAAGAGATTTCAAGTAGGGTTTAACCCATGAATTCTATTCATTATAACTACCCTCAAACAAATACCATTTTTCATTCAAATATAAATATTTTTATGGATATTTAATGTAAAAAATTTTTATTGTTAAACAATAAATTTTTCTATTTTGTATAATACCTAATAATTGAAACCACATTAAATGAATAATAAAAATCATATAAACACATAGTTTAATTCAATACATCATGCCAATTGATTTTATCACTTCATTATATCTTAAGTATACACCAGAAGTGAGTGTGAACGGGTATACGTTATGATAAATTTTCAATGAACACATTAAAGACAATGACGATGAATTTAAATTTGTATTTCAATTATTCATACTGAACTTGTTTATTTCATGTTCTTGAGACTATTGAGATTTTTGATTGGAGCTTTAAAGATTAAAAAGAAGTAATTCAAAACCTTTAATGAAAAATTTTGTTTTTATTGCTTTACCATTTTTAACGATATTTCTTTTTTATTGATTAATATTGTAAAGAAATCCTTTTATCAAACTATCCCAGTTATTTAGGGTAATTTATTCAAATATAATTCTTTTTTTCATCATCATCTAGGGATTATGAACAAATATTTAAAACCATTAGTCTTCTAACAAATGGTACTGTAAAATATTGGAATAAATTTTTTCAAGTAAAAAAAATTTTCAAAAAGTTTTTTATTTAATTGAAATGTTAATTTTAAATAATTGTGCAAAAATGAAAGCTTTTATTTAAATTTACCTTTTTTTTTTTTTTTTGGTTAAAAGCAAATTAAGTACAATGTGCATAATATGCTCAGTCTCATCCTTATCACATTTACGAGCTTCAACAAAAACGAATTTATTAAAGTGCCAATTATCTAAGCCTATACCTTATTCTCCACAACCAAAGTACCACAATTTCGTGTATATACATAATTACATACCGTAATAATGGTATGTACTTATATCACGTCGCGAATGTAAGAGTCTTTGCCATACATCCAGTAGTTATCATTTGGCAACAAACTTAACGTAGGTATTTTGATAAAATGGTTGCTACAAACTCAAACTCATTTAATGCTTTGTCCACTAACACATGCAATAAAGGAATATAAAAGTTTAAAATAAAATGCAATATTCTTCGACGTAATTCATGTGTATGGAGAAGAATAAAAGAGATTTAAAAAAAAATAACATTATAAGAATATTAAAAGTAGAATAAAAAACAAATATATATGTACCGACTCACGTACATGTGACGAAGAGGTCATAATAATCTTTCTTCTTTTCACGATGAATCATTTCAAGGTGTTGCGGAAGTGCACTTACTTTTATCTTTCTCTTATTTCTGGCTTTAAAGTACTCATCTTTTTGCACATTTTCTCATTCAGATATTGTATATGTAATGGTTTTCCAACAATTCAGAAGCTTAATGATTTTATTCATTAACTATTCGTTTGAAAATACGTGAAAGAAAATATAACAATGAATGTATAATAATGCATTTTATCAGTAAAAAATATATACATATATTTCGTATCACAAAATTAATTATCAAATTTTTTACAAAAAATAATTTCTTAAAAAATATTTGTAAAAATACTTCAGTACAATTTTAATGAACATTCAGAGAGTATTTATTATTTAAAAACCTCCAGTTTCATGAAGATATTAAATTTAATTAAAAAAATTATTTTTGTTTTATTTGTATTTTTTTCAAACATCAACTTAGTATTCTGTTCTTTGTTCATAGAATAATTTATTTAAAAATAAATTTAATTAAAGATAACAATTCTACTCGCGACTATTTTATCAAAAATAAAATATTATTCTATTAAAACTAATTTTTTTGTTATACATTAAATGGATTAATAACTGAATTAAGTTCTACAAAGTCATACATTAAACTTAATTACCCAAAAGTTGATCTAATGCCTAGAAAATATTCAAACTATATTTACATATTTAAAAAAAATAAAATAAAAAATCACACGAAAATATCTATGTGTCGTTTGGAGCTTAACTTACTCAGAGCGATAAAATTAATCCTTTAAGACTTTGTAAGATCTACAGTTCAGTGTATGAAGATAAAAGATGAACGAAAACTACGAAGAAGTGTTAAAAGTGACAATTAACTGAGCTGCAATGAAAGAATAAATACTTAATGTTATACAAAACAAACATTTTACATCAAATTAATTCAATTTACCTAAGTACAATAAAAAATTACCATCTCTACCATTTTCAAGTGAATAAAATAAAAATTTGATGCTTGTAAATAAGATCTGAACTTATATCTATTGTAGATTAACCATTCCCACAAAATTAAAGATGACTACAGTCGCTGGGTATTATATGTATACAGGAATCTCGGTGGATTATCTGCTTATTTATGTATAGAATCAACCTTAATGCTACTTGTATTAGTATAAAGCTGTTAAAGATATTAGTGTGTTGGAATAAAAAGTTCCTTTTTTACGATAACACAATTTTTTTTTCTTTTTACAATAATTTATATGCAAAAAAAAAATAGAGAGTATATATGTATATACTGTCTTAAAATGAATTGGTGGATATTTACTATTCACAGTTATAACTAACAAAACAGTGAAAATACACTATTTTGCAGTAATTTTCACTCTTTCATTTTTAGAGAGATAACAACATAAAATTGTTAATAAGTAGTAGCCAAATAACATAAATTATTAATAGATAGTAAGTCAGTAAATATATACACATTATTTTACTTACTTAACTGTTTAAAATATGATATGTAAATATAATAAAATATAATTTATTTTTATTTAATAGTTAATAAGCAAATCATTATTGGCATCCATTTATATTATTAAGATGAAATATTTGATAGCTTAAAATAATTTTTCTGATTAAAATTAAAATGAATAATTAAATACAATTAAGAAAAGAAAAAGAAAATAAAATGAATAATTAAATTAAAAATAAAGAGATTTTTAACGCTATGATACGGTGTATAAAAAAAGCTAACTAGTAATAGAGTGTGGGAGTATTTCGTGCGAAATTTATAAATTTTTGTTCACACGACACTTCTACACATATCACACATATATGCAGCCACAAATCTTTGATGACGCACAGCTTGAATCTCTTGAATCGTCCCGCAACTCATACTACAGCTTGGAATGTTTTTCTTAAGCGTACAATGTGCTGTAGTCTTTATCACTGGTCTACTGTGTATAGAATAGTAATCAGCTTAATTAACGAAAAGGAAAAGTCTTTCACGACTTTCTATTCTTTCCACTATCAGCGCTAGTTGTTTAGAAATTAAATAATAAAAGTGTTGATTTATTTTCCGGTTAAATATTTCGCATTTATAAAGATTAATTTTAGATATTAGTAATACAAAATACGTGGTGCGTTAATAAACAATCATTGGTGTATTAACCTTCAAGCAAACAACACGATGAAGAATATACAGCTTCAAGTAAGTTAGAAGAATCTTTTATTTGAAATTGATTTATTAAAAAAATAAAATGTTCAATTAGAATTAAAATAATATTAAATTACAGTAAATATAGAAGTACACAAATATTAAGCTAAGTGAATGTGAAAGATAAAAAAAGACCCAAGAAATACTGTTATCACATGTGCTGGGTGATGATCTCTTGGAACTTTGAGTGTTGCAAATATTATTTCTGATTATTTAGCTCTCATTAATGTCTTCATTCAGTATAATTAGAGTTGTAGTTTATTAACCTGATGAGGCAATCTAAAAATCGGTAGCATCTTTTGAAAGAGAGCTCTCGAAATAACTGTGGCCTTTAACATTTTCTTCTTTGACTACGTAATATAAATCTTAAAACTTATTTAACCTACTTCAATTAAATAATACTCTATAAACTATATAATTTTAATTTAATGAAAACAAACAAAAAACAATTTAGTATCGCTATTCAATCAATAATTGTATTTTTTTTTTATTTTATAATGCTGCATATTATATAATGATACAATTATTATTTATTACTAATAGTTTAATTTTTTTTAGCTAGAAAAAAATGGTTTTGTTGTTCTCGAAGATTTTTTCCTTCCGGAAGAAATTGATGAAATGAAATCCAGTGGAGAAAGCTTGACAAGCAATTTACCGCCAGAAAATGAACGAAAGATCTTCAATACAGTCGATCAGCAACAAGTAAATAAAAGAATAATATTGTACAAGCTAAATATAAGCAATCACTTAATTTTTATTTAAATATTTTCAGAATAAAGATGAATATTTTTTAGACAGTGCTCACAAAATCAGTTATTTTTTTGAATCAGAAGCTTTGGGAGATAATGGTGAACTTAAAATTGACTCAAAAATATCATTGAATAAGGTAAAATTTTATTTAAATTAAAAAAAAAAAGAAACTATCCATTAATATTATTACTACAAAACTCATCATAAAATTAAAAATTTAATAACACTAATATATAGGTTGGACATGCTTTGCATTGGCTCCATCCAACATTTAAAAAATATACTTTTGATGAAAGAATCAAGGAAGTAGCGTTTCAATTAAATTTTCAAGAACCTGCAGTTTGTCAATCGATGTATATTTATAAAAATCCTGGATTAGGATCTGAAGGTATCATCTCAATAACAAATTATTATAAGTATTTTGAATCTTTATCAATAATATTTTCAAAATATGATTAATTGTAGTGATAGCTCATCAAGATGCTACTTATCTTTACGTTGATCCACCAAAACTTGTTGGAATCTGGGTAGCTCTCGATGATGCAACCCTCGAAAATGGTTGTCTATGGATAGCACCAGGATCACATAAAAGTGGAGTCCATCGTAGGTACTTGAGGAACAAAGATTCTGGATCTTCAGAGCTTTTAGTCTATGACAGACCGATGCCACGTTATCCAGCAAGTAATTTTCATGCTGTACCTGTCCGTAAAGGCTCTTGTATCGTTATCGATGGATTAGTTGTACATTATTCCAAACCAAACCATAGTGAAAAATCACGACATGCGTACACATTTCACATCATCGAGACCAAACAAACGACTTATTCTAAAGAAAACTGGCTTCAACCACCCATAAGAGGATTCCCATTACTTTATAGAAATTAGTCTTTTATTTTTACACTGTATGTACATTTTTCTTTTTCATACAAAACAAATACAACTGTATAAAAATATTTACTAGCTTTACTGTACAGCTCTGGACTACTTTGTTAATATTTGGTTCTCCCGGTTAATCGACGATTTACGCATGTACACTAAGATGTATGTAATATATTTTTAGAGTACGATAATATACAAATAAAGAAGAATCGAAAAACGAGTAAGAAAATTAAATTTAATTCCACTTTTAATTAGTAACTAAATAATGATCATAAAAGAAATAATTTATTGTATTGAATTAGATCGAGCTATAGCAGCAAAATGATTGCTCAATTCTAGGAATTGTTCAAATCCTAATTTCAAATTTGCTTCTTTATATTTGAGGCAATAATAAATGTCTTCTGGAAGTATTTGATCAGAGATCGATTCATCTGTAATTGTTCCAAGAAAAGTTGTAATAAGTTCATAGAGCTCAATTAAATTTATATGATTTATGCGCAATTCACTGATATTTTCTAAAATATTACTTAATGCTCGTATGATTTGGTTTAAATTGCCAACAATATTGGGACAGTTTCTTTTTATGAATTCATCATTTAAATCTTCTTTGTTAAATTGAAATGAACAAGGAAGACCAGCAATTTCTAATGCAGAACCACAAAAATTTCGAGTAAATCGATAAATGTTTTCAAAACATTTAAAAGCTTTAGTTGCTTTCATTTCTTGTTCTTCTTTAGTTAAATTTATTTCAGCGTTACGATTTTCAACATCTGCTTGCTGTTTCAATCTTTCCATGCATTTATTCCTAAGCTCTTGAATAGCTGCAATACTTCTTCGCAATATATGCTGATACTTATTAACATCATTCACATACTGTATTAAATCATTGAAGAGTTCGATAATGTGCTGAATTTCTTTCAATTGTTTACGTACGTTATTTTCTAACTTGGTAATTAGTTGAAGTAATGTCTTAAGAATTGGTTCAGCTTTTGTCGAAAATGATTCACTAACAACAACTATGAAATATTTTGTAGCACATTTTAAAACGGTAATAGCTGTCCAAGGTGGTTTCAAAGTAGTATATTTTTCCCACTCATCACCAAATGTATTTTTCAGTTCACTAGAAACTATGACAGTCAAAAATGCAGTTAACATATCTTTCGTTTCTTCATATATATCTTCAATATTAAATGGAGACTTTTCAATTTCATTTAATGCGTCAAGATTATTTAATATTTTTATTTCATCTTCAGTTTTTATTTCTTCCTTAATAGCAACATTTTCTTTTTTCACTCGACCTCTTCTACTCGGATTATTAATTTTTTGTAATGTCTTATTAATTTTTTCAATTGAATCTTCTTTTCCTAAAACTGTGAGATCGTGAATCATAGCTTTATTACAAAGATTCTTGTCAAATGAAAGTAAAAAGACCAAAGAATTCGATGATCGAATTTGTAAACAAGTTTGAAGAATTTCATCATCAGGACATTCAAGAGCGAAATTCGTTCTGTTATTTACAGAATCTTGATATTTCTGTCCTTTAATCTGTGGATGTTTTTTTGAAAAATGATAATAAAGGAAATTAACTGCTCGTCTAGCATTGCTTTTAAGGCGTTCAGTACTAGTATTCTTCTTGTCATCCTTGATATAATCAAGTTCACGAATTACTGTCCATGGAATTATAATTGTTGGCTTGCCACGAATTCCAAATGAAGTATTACAAAGGTTTCCTATAGTTTCAATACTTGATAATAATACATTGGTATCAACCACTATATAAATTACAGCATGGTCTATATTGACGGTTAATTCATTACTATTTTTATCAGAAAGCTCCTTCATTTGAATGTCATTTTCGCCAATTCCCAGTTGTGCTCGAATTGCTTGAACCTGAAATAAAGAATTTTTTATTTTATTTATAAATTAAATAAAAATTTAATATTGAATTTTTAATACAATACCTCACAGATTACTTGTTCTTCTTCAATAGGTTCCCACTCCATTTCTTCATAAAAACTATCTACCTTATTTTCATTTGACACATTTTTGGATGCCGTTGCTACTCGGGCTTTATTTATTTCAATTTCAGCACTAAGTCGGCTTCGTAATGCTTTCATCCGTTCTTCTGCATTCTTATAATATTGTACTTCCATTTTAGGGTTGCTTGGAGCAGATGATAATCTATTTTGTTGACCATCGTGATTGAGTTTATTTTCTTGATTGCTATTAATATCAGTTTTAAAATTTTTTTTGATTTTTGGAATTACATATTTAGATGATTCCATAAGAGATTTCGAATCAGCTGATATTTCATTTGATACAGATGTAGTATTTTTCTTAAATTTACCAATTGTTGATTTATTATCAGGAACAAAATTGTTTTGATCTATTTTTTTAATTACATTTTTTAATTTACATATTTTGTCAAAATCTTTATCACCATTTGATTGATTATCAATGTCAATGAGTTCTTGTTTAATTTTTCGTGAAATCAATTCAGAATTATCTTCAATTGTTCTCAATTTTTCATTATTTGATTTTTTACTTTTTTTTCTATGCATTGTCGGTGAAGGTTCCTTCTTTATTTCAATTTCTTTTATTATTTTTGATTTTTTTGGAGCATTACCTTGAGCTTGTCTTAATTTAATTTTTTCTCTAAGAAGTTTCATTTGCATAGTCTCCGTTGAGTCTTTCTCTTCCTTAACAACTACTATTTTTTGTTGCTTCTTCTTTTCTACTATAGGTTCTTTTTGCTTGAGCTCTTTTGAAGTACATTGTCTTTTAGCTCTAAGTTGCATGCGTGGTTTACTTTTGTGTAATACTTGTACAATTTCAGAAGATGATGATGACGTTACACTTTTTTTATCCGTAACTTTTTCAATTGCTAATTTTGGTTTTCCCTCACACTCTGAATCAGCCTGAAAATGTATTTCAATAAACGTAACGATTATTGAAGAATAATTCAAAATATTATCATGAATTACTAAGATAATAACAGATGGGTGTACAAAATAAATAAATATTTACCTTTTCTATTTTAATAACAAACTCATCGATATCATGAATTGGGGATTTCTTGGTTGTGTTTGATACAGATTTTGTATTTAATTTATCACCATTATTGTCATCATCAAGGTTAATTATTGATGATGATGGTGATAATGAAGTTTTTGGTATCTTTGATACCATTGTATCTTGCTGACTTTTTCTTTTCATTGTTTTGAAATTTTTATCTGTTCATATTAACAGAATTCAACAATAGAGTGTACACATAATTTAGATTAACTTAATAGATTGTTTACCTCTACAGAAGTCAAATTTTATAATAATTATTTATATTTATCGTCATTTATTTTACTTCAATAACAAAAAAATATTCGTTACACATAAAAAGAAAGTAAAACGACATTTTTGAGGTTATTCAGTCATACGCAAAGAAAACATTGTCAGAGAAAAGAGACCAGTATAGAAGTCCAATGCTGTGTTAAAAATCCGGACGAAGTTTCGATCAACATGTTGGTAATCTCAGGTCACAACATAAAAGTTTCTGTGAACCCATCGAGCGATGGCGCTGCAACGGTTTATTTCAGCCACGCCCCTTAATCTAAGAGAGAAAAGAGATAAGATTTGTGTTCTCTTTTACTCTCATTACAAGAATCCTAAGCCAGTTTATTTTCAAGCACAAATTTTTAAATAGAAAACCCCCCGAGTCAGAATTTTACTGTTATTTTTGCCGCTGAATCCGCTTACTATACTTTATTTAAAATAAAAATTTTTTTCTTCATCCAGAATATCTACGCGTTTTCCATAATTATTATGAATTTATTAATGAAATCTATATTATTAAATTAGTTTTATCAACATTCGACGATTAAAAATTATTTGTAATGATTTGAAATAATTTCTAATAGTGAGTAATGGTGAGGAAATATTTTCTATAAAATTTGATTGTTTATAACAATACATTATTATAGTTAATATGATTATTTTATTACTACCGAGTACAGAATGTTTTTATAAACTATTTTTAATAGTATTCAGTTCTTTTGATTAATATTTATTAAAAAAAAAAATTATTAAGTTACTTTTAGTAATCAGTGATTATTAATTGCAACTTTTAAATATTTTTTTTATTATTTTGTATATTTTAATTAATTTTTCATTATGAGATTGAGTTACCATTAATAGTATTTCATTTATAATATTAATTGTGTACAGAACTTGGATGGGTGACCGCCGGGAACACCAACGATTTTTCTCTACTTCCTGCTAGACCCCCTGAATGAAAAAATCCCACTGAACCTCCTGAATTTTTTTTTTACGTTAAACCCCTTGAAATTTTTTTCCCGCTGATGCTCATGACTTTCAGGAGGTTCAGCAGCAAAATAATAGTAAAATTCTGACTCGGGTATATTTATAAGTTGTTCATTGTTGTTATTAAAATTAAATAAAAAATAATAAAAAAAATTTGGGATTTTTATCCATTACCCAGAAAAGAAAAAGGGTACTAGTACTGCTACAAAAAAAATGTAATAAATTTTATTTAATTAATGAATTAAAAAAAAAAGTAACTGGCGGAGATTCGAACCAGTCACCAATAGATTTGCAGACAAAGAATTTACCCCTCAGCTATCGTCTCATTTATTTAAGTGGAAGGTAAAGTAATATTTAAAGTCTCAAGTGGGGTGGGCTTGCCCTACGGAACACAGAAGGAAGACTATTTTTTTATTTGTCTCATTTCTATCTACTCAGTAGAGACAATAAGGGTTTTATTGCCCGAGAAAAATTTTTAAAAAACTATGTTTTTTTTGCTCCCTATTATCAGAGAACGAAACTAAGCTCCGCCCTCCGGGAGCGTGACATCCGTCCCCAATAAGATGTCAGTCAAAGGCATTTTTACAATCTTTTAAATTTAAATCTTTAAATGTATAATCTTACTGATTGTTAATCAAATTCTATGATGCCCAGATTTTTTATCTAATGATCATTTTAAAAATAAGCTTTATTCTTTTAATCTTTTAAAATTGGTTTTTTTTATTTTCAATCATTTAATATTCAATCAAATTATAAAAATTTTCCTTTTTTTAATGTTTATCATTTCGTTGAACAGTCAACTTAAGAAATTAGGACTGGTAAGTTATCTTGCGTCGGTATAGTAGAAAAAAAAATTCAACTAGTGTCACTGTTTTCTAATAGATGACAGTAATCACACTGTTTTTAATCAAAAATTAAAAATGCTTATATGATTTTAAATTTTGAATTGTTTAATACACTGACAGAAAAAATGTGATAGCTAGAAAGTATACTAGCGGCAAACACAAAATATACTCAATTTGAGTATAATTATTTTTTGATGCAAGTACATTTTATATCAAAATGAAGTTTAACGTGTACTGTACAATCATAATAACATTAACTTGATTTTAAATTTTTCATCACTCAATCCTAATATAATATTAATTTATACCAAGAATAGCGATTACTGCATTTTTGTAAATATTTTGCTTATCTCAAGTAGGTAGATAATAGAAGAAGATTACAAAGTTTACTTCAGTTGATAATATAGTTTTCTTACACTGAGAATCTTCCTTACTTACCACAAGTGTATTTTATACGGAGATCCCGTATAAAGCGTACTTATGCTAAGTATAATGCTGTTTTACACTTTAAACACCATGTTCTCACATTATGAATCCTTTTTTATTAATAAAAAAATACTTGTTACTTGATTCAAGTATATCAATTCTTCACTGCAAGTATATTATATACTTAAATTAAGTATACGAAGTACTCATGCTAAAATTTTTTTCTTATTAAATTTAAAAATTTCAAAATATAAATAATTATATTAATAATAAAAAAGTTACTGTTATACCCATTGGTATTGGTCAATTTAAATTAGTGACCATTACTAATAAAGTAATTTAATGATTAAATATTCAGTAATTAATAAATAGATGAAAAGTAATCTTATAATAATTACAACAATTACTGTTGTACTTTTAAATACGTGGAGCTGCTACACTTACCAAATATTTATACCTGTATAACTTTTAACAGGTGCAAAATAATAAAAAACTTTGCATGGATGAAATGTTCCATTTTTAATTCTGCACATTTTGAGCCCAAAATCGGGCTGATCGGTGCATTTGAACCAAAATGGGAATGATTTAAATAATTCATTGTTTATAAAAATAATGAAAAATCAATGAAAAAAAAAAATTTTTCTCTAAAAATGAAATTCAATATCTCCTTTTTCTAAATAAATCGCCAAAAAGTAATATTTCTAACATTTAGTATTTTTTATTAATTTCCTTAGACGCGACTGAAGCTTTTGTCAATAGTGAAGCTTCAGTCGCGAATAACTTTTTATCTATCTTAGATATGTTCAGTGCTTTTTTTTTATTAAAATTACATTCTGAACAACTTTTATTTAAAACATTTTTTCATATCTATCATAGAAATCGAGAAATTCGCGAGGGGGGGCGGTTTTTCGCGATTTACTCCCCCCCCTATGTGTGCCAAACAATTTTAACCTACACCATTGTGTTTCTCGCAAAATTTCCGATCCAGTCATCTATAAATCATTAATTTGGCCGCAGCAAACCAAAATTATCTCATTTCCCTCGTTTGATTGGACTATACAATTATCCTAAGGACACAGAAATATGACATTTTGCGTTTGTTAATGTATTCATAGCCTCTCATCCTCAATGAGTCTAAACCTCTTTGACCTTGACTCAAGCCACCCCACAAAATAAAGAAATTCATAAAAATTGATAAACGACTTAAAATGATTTTTTTTGTCATTGATTACGTGTGAGACTAAATAATTTGTGGCTTAGCGCTACGTTACGAAAAGAAATTCTTTCGATCGTATTATAACTAAAGCACGTGCAACATAGGCGTCAAACGCCATAGTTGTAGACAGTATTTTGTTTTTGTAATTCGAACTAAATCACGGTTATTTTTGATCATTAATTATTGTACAATAAATAATGTATTCATCATAATTAAATACATAATATTAAATAATTTATTGCTGAGCGCTGAGTTTGGAGATGAACTTTTAACAGTAAAAGAGTCTGACTGCAGAAGCTCGAGATATTGAAATATGCAACAATAATTGTTGTAATTATAAGAAAATTATAATTACCTCTATGGATTTTTTATTGTTCAATTAATAATTTATCTATCATCATCAAAGATATGATATTAGATAGTTTATAGCTAATAGTCCAGTCAAACGAGGGAAATGAGATAATTTTGGTTTGCTGCGGCCAAATTAATGATTTATAGATGACTGGATCGGAAATTTTGCGAGAAACACAATGGTGTAGGTTAAAATTGTTTGGCACACATAGGGGGGGAGTAAATCGCGAAAAACCGCCCCCCCTCGCGAATTTCTCGATTTCTATGATAGATATGAAAAAATGTTTTAAATAAAAGTTGTTCAGAATGTAATTTTAATAAAAAAAAAGCACTGAACATATCTAAGATAGATAAAAAGTTATTCGCGACTGAAGCTTCACTATTGACAAAAGCTTCAGTCGCGTCTAAGGAAATTAATAAAAAATACTAAATGTTAGAAATATTACTTTTTGGCGATTTATTTAGAAAAAGGAGATATTGAATTTCATTTTTAGAGAAAAATTTTTTTTTTTCATTGATTTTTTCATTATTTTTATAAACAATGAATTATTTAAATCATTCCCATTTTGGTTCAAATGCACCGATCAGCCCGATTTTGGGCTCAAAATGTGCAGAATTAAAATGGAACATTTCATCCATGCAAAGTTTTTTATTATTTTGCACCTGTTAAAAGTTATACAGGTATAAATATTTGGTAAGTGTAGCAGCTCCACGTATTTAAAAGTACAACAGTAATTGTTGTAATTATTATAAGATTACTTTTCATCTATTTATTAATTACTGAATATTTAATCATTAAATTACTTCATTAGTAATGGTCACTAATTTAAATTGACCAATACCAATGGGTATAACAGTAACTTTTTTATTATTAATATAATTATTTATATTTTGAAATTTTTAAATTTAATAAGAAAAAAATTTTAGCATGAGTACTTCGTATACTTAATTTAAGTATATAATATACTTGCAGTGAAGAATTGATATACTTGAATCAAGTAACAAGTATTTTTTTATTAATAAAAAAGGATTCATAATGTGAGAACATGGTGTTTAAAGTGTAAAACAGCATTATACTTAGCATAAGTACGCTTTATACGGGATCTCCGTATAAAATACACTTGTGGTAAGTAAGGAAGATTCTCAGTGTAAGAAAACTATATTATCAACTGAAGTAAACTTTGTAATCTTCTTCTATTATCTACCTACTTGAGATAAACAAAATACATTGGCTCACATTATACTGATTCCAAGTAGAAAGACTACTTAAATACAAGTACTTTATTTTCATAAAACTTGTATACTTTTTACTTCTTCAACCGCTTGTAGTCT